TCATTTAGAAACAAAGAAGTATTATATATCTGTTAAAAGGATGGGTTTAATATGGGTGTAATACTCTTTCATCATCTATAAAAGTCACCCTCTCAACTGTAAAAACAAAACTATTAATTTTTGGGAGATTAGCTAAAATAACCTACCTTTTTAAAAAAATAGCTAGAATAACCTTACTATTTTTTTATTGCTGAAATAACATATTCTAGATTTTGTTTCTTTCATAATACCAAAATTGTCCTTCACAGACTCTGCCGAAACATTGCCAGACTCTGCCGGAATATTGGCAGACTCTACCGATGTTTCTGCCAATATCTAAAAATACGCAGACTCTGTCAAAATATTGGCAGACTCTGCCAAAACATTGGCAGACTCCGCTGAGGTAGTGGCAGAATCTACCGAATCATTGGCAGACTCTGCGAAAACATTGGTAGACTCTACCGATGTATTGTCAGACTCTGCCAATATCTAGAAATACGCAGACTCTGCCAATGTTTCGGCAGAGTCTGCCAATACCTCGGCAGAGTCTGCCAAAAAGAATTTTGGTATTATGAAAGAAAAAAATCGAGAATAAGTTATTTCAGCAATTAAAAAAATGGTAAAGTTATTCTAGCTATTTTTTAAAAAAGTAGGTTATTCTAGGTAAATTTTTCTTAATTTTTTTGATGTGAATTTTTTTTTAGTTATGACTATGACTTTAAAAAAAGTAAAAGTCATATATTGTTGGTTTTTTAGAAAAATTCATTAACGTAGTTCTTTTAACATGTATGGAGAATCCGAATACGACGTCGAAACCATGTCTGAAGAATTCAAATATGACGTCGAAACCATGTTTGGGAGGATCCCCCCCCCCCCCCAAGTAAGATTTCTCTTTATTTTTCATCCGATGGATAGTAAGAAAATGAATCTAAACAATTGATCTGATTTTTTCTTCATTTTTTCCGTTTTGTGAAACCTCGCAGAGGTTACAAAGGCTACATGCGTGTTCTGGGATGTGGATGATTGTCCAATCCCTAATGGTCTCGATATTAATTTGATTTATCAGAATATCAAATCAGCTCATGTGAATAATGGTTATGATGGTAGCTTGGAAATCAAGCTTTATGGTCAGAAGGAAACGTCCTCGAATGAATTGCTGCTAGATGCTGGATTAACATTCGTACCCAAAGGTGATTTTCCTTTACTTAAAACACTTTAATTTTCTCAATTTTTCACTTATACTTGTAATCTAGATCTTCGTTCGATATTGTAGCTCCAGAGGGTAGCCTTGCGAGAGTTATGTTATTGGACATTCTTGCATGGGCACTTGACCATCCACCATCATATAGAAGCTAACGACAATCATATGTGATGGTAATGTCACAAGACTTAATAAGAGACACCATGTTGGTCAATACTCTTTTAAGTGTTGGCGTAAGAGAGCTTATGATGTTCTCTTAGCACAATCTGATTTAGTAGCTAGGAAACTACAACCGCAATCAAAAGTGCTACCTAAGGTACCATCAGTAGCCTAATAGCTGGAGGTGAACCTATCATCGGCCAAGGAGGTTTGGTGACTTCATCTTAATTAAAAAGCACTAAAAGTCTGAAAGTTTAGTACGGTATTACGTACATGTTGCAATGTCATTGTCTTAAGTTGTGTTTTTCAAGATGATTCTCCCATACTTCTAAGTTGGAAATTATGGTATGGGTCCCAAAAATCTCCAAAGAATATCTTATTTTTTGGACATTTCTAGTATATTATTCACACACAAAAATATGTGAGAATAGTTGTCCGAAGAGGATATTGAACAAGTCGTGGACCGTTGAAATAGCACTTCACGTTCGCCGAAGGTTAAAGATTTGCCAGACAAACAACAAACAAAACAATTAGCTGCGGCACAGTTTTTCTTTGCACAATCACCTCCAAAATAGACGGTGAATATTAGTCTGATCTACCCCTGAAAAAAAAGAATCATCTAAATCTTTCTGTATTTCTCTACAATCTTTACAACCCTCTAGATATTTTCAAAAGTTCTAAAATAGTACAAAATAGCTTAAATGAAAGGGATCCGAAAATTGGTTAAATGTTGAAAATCGGACCGCAACACATATATACTTCTATTAATGCAATCGATTCAATTTTGGTTTGAACTCCCCAGTTTCACTAAATTAAAAACACGCGATTATAGTAATCCTGATTTGTAGGGTTAATATGACATTGACACTTATTATTGATTTTCGAGTCAATCGAGTAATGTTTCTCTTTTTTGGACTAGCTATGTTTTTAGGAAATTTTGATTTTCTCCTGACTAAGTAAGTTGTTGGAGTTGTTCTACAACCACCAAATTTTGCATCGCAACACAATTTTAACAAAAATTTAGATGACAAAAGAAAAAGGTAATCCCGAGGTTAACCATCTCGAGATTTCCCAACCAACCATCTCAATTAGAAAACCATTTCCTTTTTTTTTTCTACCTCCCCACTCCAACTCGATCTCCGTGATATCTTTTGGATAACGTTTTGGGTAAAAATTTGTATGCTTCATGATCCCAACAAAAAAACAAGTTAGTACGTAGTATTATAATATTTTCACTATTCGTGGAGGGTGATCAAGCACGTCAATTCCCAATACATATGTTCAGACAACTGGAGAACGTCAACCAACGGTTTTACGCCACGTAAGTCTTCAAATGGGACCACCGTTTTAAAACCCAACCCCTTTCGGCAACCTCTTCCCTCATCCTCTTTTGACCACTCCTGATATTTATTCGTATATCCACTACTTCACGTACATATCTTGCTACTGTGCACCCTCACCTTCTTTATGTTAAGTGATTACGAAAATAAATTAAAATTTATGCTCATGCCTATGATTGGCTTTAGACATTGGTTTGGGTTCATGAATCCTTCTTGATAATGATTGGTACGTCGACTACCGTATATCCCATGTCTGATCATGTAAGTCAACCTAATAACACACACCAACAAAAAAAGTAAACATATCAAACGTTTCAAATCTATCGGCACGTTTTATTCATTTGTCTTTCGCACGATTCGTTGGGGGTGATCCTATCATTTGTCTAACTATAGTCAAATCGTGTTTTTTTAATGTGGATGTTATAAAAACGAAAACGATTGCGTGAAGAGTACGAGGCAGTGATATTTATCCTTTGGTGAGTAAAAAAATAAACGGACTAGATCAAACCGCAACTTGATTCTTGTTGGATAAGGATTAAGGAGAAAGAGCAAGTGCTATGTTTCTTACAAAATCCCGAGAACTTCTCCAAGTGTCATCAGTGACATATTTTCTTCAAAAATCAAAATTATTTTTTCTGATTTTCTTGTTCTGTTTTTTCAAAACAACCAATCATTCGATCAAAGTAAATTTTTGCATGGATATTTTTTAGATTTCATTCTAGTGTG